TTTACTAATTATTTTATTCAATTGTTGTTTATTATAATCTTTACTTAGTTACCGTAAATAATGTTTTAATTAAACTTTGAATATACAATGATGAATGAGTTTTTCTGATTCTTTAATGGAACGTATACATAGACATTGCAAAATGAAAGATTAGAATTTGGAAATGTACTTTAAGTGATTATAATAGTAATGATTATGATTAAAGGTGGCAGTGAATGGAATCAATTATTCGAGTTTACCGCTTTATTTATTTGAACATATAAATATTGATACAAAGAGGCACCAAACAAATATGCGACAAATAAATCATTCGATTTGTGTGTGTGAGCTGTGATATCACCCGGGTGCTCAAACCAAAACAGCTGATTTTCTTAGGGGGTCATACCCCGAGCTTTTGACCTAAAGGTCTGATCCACAAGGCAGTGGAGCAACGTAAAGAGATACGGTTCCATGGTAGTCGGTGACCAACGATTGGTTCATACACCAAATGTTTCCATGGATTTTGGAACCCATGTGCACCATCGCTTTGAAATCAGGGTTTTCCAACTCCTCTATTTGGAACCTCCATATCTTCCAATCCGGTTAAAGCGCTGGACATTGGGTTTTTGTCCTCTCAACTTCGTAAACAACAACCCCAGTGCGAGAAGGCAGTTAGTAGGACTTCCCTGGCAGGGGCTATATACACGTGGCCATATGAGAACATTTAGAGAAGAGATGATTCTCTCCACCCTCGGCCGTACTAGGGCATTTGGGGTCTTACCGGTATAATGATTATATTAAGAATAAATGGTTACGTCTACTTTGTTCTTAAGTTAAGTTTTAATGCCTGATTCATTCATTTAATTGAAAATCATGTTTAATTTATTGGTTTAGTTTCTAGCAAACAGGTAGATTTGCATTTAAACTGTTATCCAATGTGTAGGATATATGTTTATACGATGTTACTTGTCATCTATCTAAGACGACAGTAATTAATGTATTTAAATGTAAATATTCATGTACTGTGTTAAGATCGAATTCTAGTAAACAAGTGAACGGGTTTATGGTTTAGTCAGTTGGATTTGTAATTATTAAATGAACAATAATGTTGTCATCAGTATAGGGTTGTGGAGATTGTTTAGTTATGACTGAAATCAACCAATATTAGAACACCACTGAACACCTGGAAGTACTAGACATTCTAGTATGGAACTCCTCAGTAGTGCTCATCCACCATAGCGCAACTGGAGTCGAGACCAGGACCTTCAGTCTCGCGCGCAAACAGTTAACCGATTCACGATATTGTGTGAATACCCTCCATTTTCTCACATTGATTGATTGACTAGCTTTGACAGGTAATTATCGAACTTCCAGTGAGAAGCCATGACAGGTGTAGCTAATCCGCGTGTGGTATGAGGCAGTAACTCATCGAAGGCAATAGAAGATGGTCGCGCAATATCGTGGATTGGTTGAGGTTAGACATTAACACTATTGGATGCCAGCTCAATGATCTAGAGGTTAAGCGTTCGCACGCAGGACCAAAGGTTCTAGGTTCGACTTCAGTCGCGGCATCATGGATATGCACTGCTGAAGAGTCCCATACTAGGACGAAACGGCCGTCTAGTACATCCAGACTTTCAATGGCGGTCTAATATTGATTGATTCATGATCTAAATCAAAATAATGTCGTATATATATAAATTATTGTGAAATTTAGTAAGATTAGGAAATTTAATTGTCCTGAAACTATAAACAACCAAAGCGTGGGTATATTTGAACTTGTATCTATTTCAAGTAAAATGGAAATTAAAACCTACGAATCAAATTCAGGAGTATTATCAACTCATGTAGATAGATTTAGTTTATAATTAAACTAGGTCTCATAAAATTACTTGTCTATATGGCCCCAATCCATCAACAACGTGATAGATATACATATAAGTAAATTATGTATTCATTTGATATAAATTCTTTCTGAATTATTAGTATTTATTCTAGAATCGGACGCAATTAAAATTGATGACTGAGTACGGTCAAATGAGGATTAATGATAATCTGGCTAAATTTATTACTGATATGTTAATAATGTAGTGAAACATCAGGAAAATTATTCGTCGTAAACTTGTTGAGGATGCAGTGAACAAAAAGTAATTTCGATGTATTTTCTACTTCCTTTATTTCCAAAAATAAATGGCAGTCCATTCTGCGCAGTGTTTCGGTTTGGATAGTGTTAGACATCAACACCAACCAACGCTGAATCGGTGGTCTGGAGGTTGTGTTCGCGTGCAAGGCTTTCCAGTGTTCTCAGGTTTTTAATGGTGGCCTAGCTTAGATCGGTTCATGAGTTCCATTAAATGTTATCGAAAAGGACGGAGAAGCCCTCAGATGCTCTAAAGTTGCTGAAGAGATTTCGTCTAATCGGGACCTAAGAGAACCTTCTAGAATACTAACGTGGCATGGTGTGATCAGACGGTTGTGTGAAATTCCTATTTGCGAACTGGCTCAATTATAATCATGTTGTAGATGATACTAAAAACTATAAATACCATTACTTTTCTGCACACTTTTGACCCTTACCCAATAATCGCTTACTTTGCTTTTTCCATCTTTTGATTTGCGAATGTGGGGTTCTATATATTTGAGTGCCAATAGTTGTACACCGTATTCTGTCCCACTCAAGTAGAGGAAGTAACAGCAACAATCTCTATTTTTTCATGCTGTAATAATATTATCAAGTCGATAGTCACATAATGCTTTCAATAATCCTGTATTTCTTGGACACTAATCAGCAGATTTTTCATCGAAATCGCTCACACTGAAGTCAATCGTTAAAAATGTGTTTATTATGTTGAGATTTAAGGTGGTGGTTGGACATAGACTACAGGAAACCGAATATATAAGTAACAATATATTTGACTATAAAGCTTAGTGACACGGGACTGAATCAACGAGGTAGCATCAGTTCCATTTAAATTACAGGTACACTTTGCTGACGAGCGCCAAATAACACGAAACTCAGGTTCAGGATTTCTTATCGACTACTTATAGTCAACTTCTTACATCTCAACACAATGCAAGAGATGTTGATTTACTTGAACACTAGTTGTCGCATCACAACTTAGACGATAGAATTCTATCAGCACTAGGAAAGATCACATATTGGATACTACTTAGTGATCAATCATTTGTCAGGTAAACAATGAACGAAAATCTGTCTACATTAATTATCGTTAAGGTATGGCAAACAATAATAATCTCAGTTTCATCTGGATTTAAACTATAGAAATTCTGGCAATCCGTCAACCCATATGATAATCTACCATACTGGATGCGCACTACTGAAGAGTCGCATACTAGGACAAAACGGCCATCTAGTACTTCCAAGTTTTCAATGGTAATCTAACATTGATCCATTTATTCAAATTATTTGGTAAATTTATCGATCCGGTATTATTTTATCGAATATTTCACTCCCTTATTTCTTTTCTTTTTTTTTAAAAAAAAAGTAATTCACTTCCATCCATTTATCATCATCACAACTATGAATGTTAATATGTAAACGAGAGATAAACCATCCAGCTCAGAGAACAAAACACCACCAAAATCATCCACCTGAGCTACAAATCTTCTCCACCATCTCATAAACCCTCACTATTACAATCCCATTCAACAATAGTTGAATAATAATAATAATACTAGTGGTAGTAATATGCTCATCATTTATTCATATTTAATTAGAAAAGTGGTGTTTAACGAGACCAAACGAAGAGACATGGGATAATAGTAGTATTACTACTACTAGTAGTAGTAGTATTAATGGGAAAGTTTGATATTCATTGGAAATAGACCAGATGAAAAATTACATAACATACAGCAGTAAACAAAAACAAAAAAGATGAGCAGAATATAGAAAATAGAACAACATCTATAGTAATAATGATAGAAAAATGCAGAATAAAAGAAGGATATATCAAATTGTTCATTTCTGTCTTTCATATGTTGAATTATTGATAAAAAGGAAAAGAAAAAAGAAAAATATCATAGAGAAAGTTAGCCATGGAAAAGAGAGTGTACAATGTCGGTAAGAATGACGATGTTGTTACCGTCATCATCATCATCATCATCATCGTCGTCGTCGTCAAGATATGAGTTAAAATTAAACAAAATAAGACAAGAAAATAAAAACAAGACATTATATTAATATGAACACTAGAACAAAGAACCAATATAACGATTGGTTACATAACAGAATGAAATAGCGATAATGAGTTTATTTTGTGCTAAATAACACACACACACACGTACACACAATTGTTTAGAGAGAGAGACCTCCTCCCCCCCCCAAAAAAATAGACAAATAAATCATCTATTCATACAAAATAAGGTAAATTAGAAGTGGATAGATCTATCGTTTAGTAAGTTAACATAAATAAAAGCATAACTATTCATGTCATGATCATTTATAATCAATAATGAATAATAAATTTAATGTATTAGGGGGGTGCAATAGTACCGGTGAAATAATATCGGAAGAGTATTTAAACAAACAAACAAAAAAACAAAAGAAAAAAAACTGGTATAAAGAAAAACAAACCAAACCAAAACAATTACATAATGAGGGAGGAAATGATTTATCCACTTTAATCATCATAATAATCAAGATAATCATTTTGGTATTATTTATCTAAGAGGAACAAAAAGAGAAAAAAAACAGTATTCTACAAGGAATATATGAATATGAAATACTTTCTTATTCATGGTAATAATGACGTAATGAATAAACAAATAGGCTTAGATATATATCACAGTATGAACAATGTAAAGCAGCTTACTCTATTCCCCTCGTTGTTACCAAGGTGATGACTGTACATAATAATCTTTATAAATATATATATATATATATATATATATATATATATATATATATATATATTCATCAATATTTTGTTTCTATTTGAATAAAATGATTATTACTGATAAAAGAATATTGTTCATTATTATTAGGATAATGAAATTATTATTTAATATAATGGAGTTGGTTGTAAATCCCATGAAATTTCATCAAATGAATCATGACGATCTGTAAGTAATTGACTTTCAGATTTTTGTCTTATAAGATGATGATATTTAAATGAATCAGATAATGTACTCATCATCATTAATTTCATCATATTATTCGATGTATAATTTGTACGTGATAATGGTACACTAGTTGGATGATGATGTTGTTGTTGTTGTTGAATTGAAGGAAATTGTTGTTGTTGTTGTTGTTGTTGTGTTAATGTTGATTTATTATTTATTGATTCATCACAAAATGAAAAAAATATATCCGGATCACTTGGAGAACGGAATATAGTTTGATTACGATTAGTATTATTGAAATTATTCATAGTTGGATAAGATAATTTTCGATTTACATCTGTAAAGTGTATAATAAAAAAAAATTAGGTCGTTCATTTATTGACAGTTTATATCTTTTTATTTACCTTTACCTAGTCGGACATTTATCATTTCGATTATACTATGTTGTCGAGATAGTTGAATTGGATAGTTTACGTCGTAGATTGATCACAGTATGACGACCATTGGACTGCTTTTTAGTCCTGTTTTGGAGCTTCAGAGCAGTGTATACCAAGGACTTCAATAAATGACTAACCTTTGACTATTCTATCATTCAAGTGCCCGTCCAAATACCTGAATGCCTTAAGTTTATGTCCTTGTTGTTTCGTAGGTTTTGACGGTTAAAGAGATCTATACTATGCTAAAACAACTGTCCAGTGATTTTTGGTTCTCAATTATTGTTTAACTAAAATCAGACCATGATGTAAGTCTTGATAATCATATACCAGAAGACAATGGTGGATGTGTCACTTAATTTCGTGGATTAGTTGAAGTTAGACATTCATACCGTTGGATGCCAACTCAGTGATTTGGTAGCTAAGCGTTCGCGCGCGAGACTGATAGATTCTGGGTTCCAAGCACGAGAGGTGGGATCGTGGATGCGCACTGCTGAGGAGTCCTACGCTAGAACGAAGCGGCCGTCCAGTGCTTCCAGGTTTTTCATGGTGGTTTAGCTTCAACTGACTCATGATCTTGTAGTGAACTACTTTTATGAAGAGAACGCGATTGGTATAATTGGAAACAATTATTATTATAACCAATAGTACCAGTGATTTTTTTTGTATCCTGAGCCCACACCGCCGACCATCGTCCGTTTGGTACTGTCGACTTCAGTCAATTTTGGCGAAAGCTGGCATGATCATCCACGCTCTTATCAACTCACTCGGTTGATATTCTGGTTTCGAACCTGTCTGGCATATGTTTAGTCTCGAACTTGATTGTTATGGTCGCTTCTGGCTTCTTGGCTAAATGTGGTTCCGTCCTTCGTCTGTAGCGCTTTCTGGTCCTCACCCCTACGGACGCAATCCTCAGATACTGGATACAAACCACTCCGGTGTGGTATGATAACTCGAGCAAAAAATACAGCACGCTTCTCCTGGTACCGTAATACGTAAAAGACCTCCGGTGACAACTCGACGATCAACGATCGCTTCCTATTGGTCAACTCTCGTTCTACAGTCCCAAGAACGAAATCGCTACGTATCCAAAATGTAACCCCTTTCTAGCGGGGGGCTCCTGTAGTGACCTACTTTTATGAAGATAACGTGGTTGGTATGATGGAAACAATTATTATTATAACCAATTGTACCAGTGATTGTTTTACTGTACCTGTTTGTTTAACAGTACTAAAACCTTACCTTCTTCCGTTAACTGTGACCTTGCACGCATTCGCGTACGCTACGTGGACCCGCTTGTACTCTTGGGCATGATTTCAGTATTATTTCGATACCACGAGATTGCCAACAAATATATTCTATTAAGACCGTCAATTGCCTTTTGGTTTTTGGTCTACGAAGGGATCAAACTTAATATCTAGTACATAATCTTCCTGTAGTGGTGATCATAGCCAATCGCGACTCGACGCCTACTACAATCTCAACCACTGAAATGACTTTAATATTCAAGAAAATCCTTCTGATATATCAGATTTATCGTAATTGTAATGTAGATTTCAGAACATTTTACGTACTTAGACAAAAGACTGGTCTAAATACACTTAATGTATAAATAATGATTGATTCATTTTGAATGAAACTATCTTTGGTTTTTTCTTATAAAGGGGCAAATAAATAAAGTATGAATGAGCAAACTATAACAAATCTATCGAGTTTTCATATACAACCCATGAGGTCATTAAGTAATATGTAAATAAATATAGTTAGTAGTTAGATGATTTCAAACTTGTTTCAGGCAACATGTTATTTTATAGTTTAGAAAATTTTTGTTTCATACCATAGATAGATTCTCATTGGTTAGATTATATTCTATTTAGATAAATAATTGTATACTTAATAACTTTGGTCAGTGTTGGATTAAAGTGGTTAATCTTGTAAACTAAGTCTTATCTATCATACATATGATTCTATCGTATTGTATTGTATTTGAAACCTCCATGTTTTATTCTATTTAGTTTGCAATTGAATCATAATTAAATTGTATTATTGAAACAACATATTCTCTACTGCTTTTTGGATTACTGAGTAGTGACTAATTAGAAATACATGTCTTACAGGAGGTAAGTCGAGTGTTAAGAAGCTCAAACTATGAAACTAGATGATATGAACTTGAATCCACAAGGAACGAGAAGTTCTCTCAAGGCTACATGCTTTGTTGTGACGAGTGGAAAATAGCATGTAATCTAAGTCAAACAGAGTTCCCTTCCGATTACCACCAATTATTTAACCTCTAAACGAAGTGCATACAGCATCGAGTCACTTAAACTAGTAGTCATATTGCGATTAGATCAATAGAATTAGATCAACACTGGAAAATTAAACAAACCTGACATCATTAAACCGCGAACTGATTTTAGCTAGACTACCCATTAAAAGCATAGAAACATTAGATGGTCTGTTCTTCCTAGTGTAGGGCTTATCAACAGCGTAGATCCATGAACCTGTATCCAGTCAATAAAATGTCAATTATAACCGTTTAATTATAGCAGTTATAACAAATGTCTATCATATCACGAAATACATAAATGAAGCTTACAAATACTTATATCGTGATTTACCTTCTGATCATTTAAAATTGAAAACGAACAAATCAATTTCTACACTTTTATCTACATGCCATATCCTATTCAATCGAGTAAAACCTTTTGATAATCACTATTGCTTGTCACAGATTCTGCTAGAATGATTAGAAATACTTCAAAATTATAGTGTCCTTATAAAATATGAAAACCATACACTAAATACTTCATTTGTACATCTTCCATCAATTGTCTCTTATAAACTTGATTGTCCTTTCATTTCCGTTGTTAATACAATCACTCTCTATTTACATTTCTGTTCTATTCAATTCAATCTTCTCAACCTTTTGATGTTAGGCATTCTACTTCTGATTGGTGTTACATACTACTTATGTCGACAGATATAAATAGCATAAACCACAATGGTATCGTTTCTTGTATTATAATGTAATGAAAGATTAGCCTACCTACCTACCTACCTACCGATTCGCATTATATAAAATAAAAATATATACAGGAAAGCAAACGTTGCAAACTACTTATAAAGCAATACTACTTTTTATGTGATACAAATAATTGACAAAACTATACTTCAAGTTAATGGTATAATAAAAAAGACTGAAATATATTATGAATATAATGTAATGTAATATAAGATTATGTAAATAGTATTACTGAAGTGTATAGCAAAGATATATATATGACAATAATTAGGTATTTTATTTGAAATATTTACCAAAATACAAAAGAATTGATTATAAGGACTCAATAACTAAATGAATAACGCGATGGCATTTGAAGCGAATGGTATTGGGTTCAAGCCCCATAAAGAACATCAATAAGTTTAAGATGCAAGTACATCCAGTTGACGAGTCCCAAATAAGACGAAATGAGCGTCAAACTTAATACAACTGCTAGCTACTATTTCATCTTTACTTAGAAATGATTCTATTATTTTTAAAGGATGCTAATTTAATTGATATTGTTTAATAGTTATCAAATTACATAATCATTCAATCATTTAATAATTAAACAATTTCTTCTATTATCAATGTCATTTAGTTTGTAGAGTTTACTAATGTGTCATTTAAACTTAAAGTATTTACTCATTTATTTTCAATACTGATGATATATATATATGTCATGTATTAGATATTACACTTCTTCATAGATTTGCACTGACAATTACTACAGAAATGACATTACTGACAAAGAATTACACTTGATATACTGACAGATGATGTAATAATACAATACATTCAATATTCATCAGTTTAATTGATTGAAGTTAAAGATTAATATTATTGGATACTAAATCAGTGGTCTAAAGATTAAGATTTTGTGTGCTAAAATCTAAAGTACTGGGTACGACTCCTGTATACGTAGTTATAAATGGGCACCTTTGAAAAGTCCCATAATAAAATAAAATGACCGTTCAATGCTTCCAGATTTTCAATGATGGTCTAACAAAGATAGGTTCATGATTTCATTGTAATTTTATAATATTGTATATCTATGTTTATTCAGTAAATGATTAACTACATGATATTAAGTACTACCCATTTAATGTATACCAATCTGACTGTTAATTGATATGATTCGTATAAAACTTAGTGTATTCAGTTATTCATGTTGACTTTTATTGAGTGATAAATAAATCCTTATTCGATATATCTGTGTTCTCATTTGCATCATCCGATTCCTGATTTTATTACTGAAACATCAAGATTTATTAACATTTGCAACAGTGAAGACATGTATGTCTAAAAATCTTAATAAATGTTCATATGGATTATTTATTACTTGGGATCATGGGAACTAGAATAGTTCTCAAGTAAGATGGGCAGTACAACAATAAGTAATTATAACTTTAGGCGATTTGTATTTAATAAGTAGACTTAAAACAAAGTGAATTTATTGTTAATATTGAATTGCGAAGATTGCTGAATTTAATCAGAATCACGAACCAACCAATATTAAACCAGCAATGAAAACATGAAAGCACTCGACGGTCGTCTCGTGATAATATGGAACACATGAGAAGTGTCCATACATGATTCCACAGATAAGAATCGAATCCAGGATCTTTATTTGATTCTACACACATTTTTATTCTTATTTTGTCATAGAATATCAAGCGAATTGATACGAAAGAAGCTTTATGAAGTGTTTAAAAATTGGCTGTTTCCCCCTCATCACTTTTTAAAATTGTTCCGGTCAACTAAATTTCCACTTTCCTAGAGGAAAGTACGTTGACTTACAAATTCACATATAGAGTCATCTAATCAGCATATTTTAACGTTGAAATGCAAACTTTGTTCAACGAATGTTTGAAAACCGTTTCGAAATGAACTTACTTGCTACATTCAATAAATTATTCGTCATAGACTAGAATACAGTATATTAAACTAGATAAATCAAAATTTCTGAAAAGAGGCAATCGGTGTTGATCTTAAGATTTAAATTAGAATGTTAGGTTTCAGTATTAGATCGAACTATCAAGTATTTGGTAGCGTGGCTTTTATATTATTTCAACCATTACTATAAATAATGATTTAAGTAAAATTTTCTTTCGCCGATTTCCAGCTTTACACAGTAACTTAGCAGTGTATAATGTTATTCAGCTGATTTTATTCTGTCATTTAAACTAGAAGGTTAACTGAAATGTTAGAATACTATTTCTTACTGTACAGAAAGTAGAAATAACAGTTATAAAAATAACGAAAGATATAAGTTATGCCTAGTGTTTGTATGCTTGATACCAACTTCTAAATGTTCTTCAGAATTGTCCTACATTTGTACGTCGGAAGGAAGACAAAAGGCGGAAAGTTTGGAAGGAAGTTTTACTTCCAACGTTAGTTGAATTATTCTCGAAGCTTCTGGAAATATGTTGAAATTAATAACATGATCAGTGATCATCCAATTCAGATATGACATGAACTTTCTAGGTAGTTTCTGTTGTATTCTGTTTGGACGAAATATTCACAACAACAATTTGTCATTAGCTTAATCTGGATAAATATTATGATAATGAGGCGATCAGATAGTTCATCTAGAAATCTTACAGAATGTTTAAGGCTAAATCTATTTCGAAAAATACGATAATCTAAAAACACGAACATTAATGAACTGATCACTGTGTATTGATCAATGTTGTGTTTGTCTGGTATTTTAGTGATGACCGAATTCTACCGACCAGGTTACCATATGGCCTATGAATTAAGTGGCCAGACATTGCGTTCACTAGGTTCTGGTATTAAGTGGTTCAAGATAGATTATACGAAACCCTGTTTGATTGTAGATTTGTGTTAGTTGGTAGTGTTCAACAAGGTATACTTGCACTATTGTGCGGTGTGATTCTTCTAGTCATCTAGCTTTAAATGCTGAGACGTCAACAGCAATATTCGGATGTAACTTGAACTTAGTCACGACTCAGTGATCAGTCAGTTGTAAACAAACCAATCCTGCAGAAGGTCTGTCGCATCCTAAATGGGCTAGTTGTAACGTCACATATTGAAACAATATGATGACGGTTCAAATCCATCAGGGATCACCAGTTTCTTCAATATTACAGGTACGCCTTGTTGAGACGTAATATTCAAGATGAGAAGTAAAATAAACAATAAATTATGGACAACTTTTAACCAGAAAAAAAAAAGAATAACACTAAGAGTCACTTGACAGAATCAAGCCGCTGGCACTATTTTGATCAAGGTCACATGGTGGCGAAAGGTTACAAGAAGTTGAAAAGTCTGTGTAACTAGGTACCTGTGTGAGTGCTAGTGGTGGAATGTCAGATGAGATTATTTCAACATATAGAGACAGAGGTGGTTTGTACTAATCTAAGCCATTTTATATACCGTTGTAATGTTAGTCTGGATGTAAAAGATCGAGTCTACAAAGTATCAGTGAAAGCAGTCCTGACCTATACTTGTGAAGCTTTACCACTAAAATTTGAGGATGTTAACCAATTATCCGTTAAATCACTGTTATGTTCGAAGAATTACATACATTCAGTGGCATCACCAGGTTATAAAAGGTGGTTTTAGGACACTGTGACAATAATCCAAATCATCTTGAAAAACCGGTTTCAATGGCTTCATCTGGTGTTACAAATGACTTCAACACCGTACATCGTCTGGCGATGCTGAGAGTGGGTAGTAAAAGCGAAGAGGTGGACGTTTCGTGACATAGCACCTGAGTGCAAAAGAAAGCTGTGTGAAACTGGAACCTATCGTCTCATCATGGTTCCTCAGATTGGAGTCCGAAAGATTTTTTAACTCAGTGGTTTGAGATGTTGTCACATATTGCTCGGGCTAGTAGCCAATGTCATCAATGCCAGACCCCAATGGTAATTTGGAAGCGCTGGACGGTCGTTTCGTCCCAGTGCAGGACTCCGCAGCAGTGCGCATCCATGATTTCACACCCAGGACTCGGACTGAGGACCATGAATATTGAGCACGAACTATTAAATTCTAGGCCACTGAGCCGGCATCTTATGGTGTTATTGCATAAATTCAACTAATCCACGATAATGCATGACCATCCTTGTTTGTCTTCGGTGGGTAACTTTGCCTCACACCCGGAAGAAATGAACTCCACCGGTTATAACTATTCTAAATGAAAATCTTCTAACTCCCAGTGAAGAGTTTAAATGGTTTGAATTATTTTTTCTAGTTAGTGTTTTTTTAGCGAGTTAGATTTCTACTGGATGGGTTCACTAACCCCATATCTAACCCTTTTCTTTTATCCGGGCTTGGGACAAACAGTGGCCCCAGAGGGGCTCCAGGGGGAGTTTGTGTACTACACAGCAGCATTACAGTAGTTATTTTCGAGAAATTAGTTCAGAACTCAGGTGAATATTCAATATATATATATTTTTGTCTCAGATTGATTTGTGATGTCAGTAAAATTCGACACTCAGAACAATCCCCCAATACTGATAATAATCAAGTAATCATTAGTGACTAATTTCATAAGAGGATTTCAAGAGTTTTAGTGACCGATGGAGTCCAACCATGTCAAGATTAAGGTAAATTTTATCGATAAAAATGGATCATGATGGAAGATATTTCCGAATTCATTAAAATTAAGAATGTATACTATTAGATCTTGGGTTTGTAATCTAAATATTTAGTACTTACAATGAAACTTGAGAATTATAAATACAGTGTTTAGTTTGATTTTGAATGCATACTACTGATGAAGTGAAAAAAATACATATAGACCAAAAAATTCTAGTTGATACATATTACGACAGACTAAGGAATTCTATACTAGAATGAATCAGATATTCAATACTACCCTGATGATGATTATCTTATTAAGATTGATTTATTATATCATCAAATGACATAGAATACTTGACAGAATTAAACTATTCACATACTATATATATTAAAATATTCTTTTCATTCAATACACTTACCTAGATTTTCACGTAATATAACAGTAGTACTATTTGCAGAACTTGGTTCAGTACTACGTGAACTAGTTGATGATCTTTTTGATGATGGTGATGATATTATCGCTGTGACTGAAGACAATGATACAGGTATAGATTGTGTAACAGATAAAGGAAGTTCTAATTTACAATAAACATACTGATTACTTTTATTATTATTATTATCATTATTATTATTATTATTGACAGTATTGTTAATATGATTATCAACAACTGAATAATTATGGATCATTTCAACTGTATCAGAAAAGATTGAATTCATTGTTGATGTAGTTGTTATAGGTGATGTAATTGAAATACATTCAGTTGAATTATGTATAGTATCATATTGAAATAATGGTGATAAATTTGTTGGTGATTGAAAATCAATTGATGAATGAACTATAGAAGATGATGTAGATGATGAAGATAATAATAATAATGATGATAATTTTTGATCAGGAATAATTAATGAATCATTATAACCACTATCACTATGTTGTGGATCAGAACAATTTGATGGACTTAGATATTGTTGTTGTGACATATTATTATTATTATTATTCTGTTTATTAGTAGTATTATTATTATTATCTTTTAAATTATGCAATAAGATATTATTTTCAGGTTTTATGAAATTATTTTTTAATACGGTAAGTGAATCATTTGGGAATTCTGGAAAATCTATGGAAATGAAATAGGAAAGAATAAATGTATATATGTTATTTTATTATTATAAAAGATTTATAGGTAACAGCGAAATTTAGGATATGTATATCGTCTCATATGGCTATATGGCTATGTAAAGCTGAAGGTCTCATATGAGGCTGGAGGTTCGCCATTGTTATTGTGGATGGTTCGGCATTGCCTTGGCAAGTTTTGCTGACTGTTCATGCAAAAAATCGGTTCGCTGGTTAACCGATTTCATTCATACTGGTGGTTGCTTTTCAGTGTTCCCGAGGGCCATTGTCATTGGGACATTGTAAGGCATGTCGCCATCGCTAACATTAACGAGTTTGACTATCGTGTAAGCGGAATAGGTCAGCTTTGGCCTGTTCATGCTGTGCATAATTGATTCACGCGATCATTGATCGGAACAACTATACATGTGATGTGAATGTGTGTAAGAATGATGCGAATGGTCCACCAGGGTGCTTGGTACCTGTGTGGTTGCGCCACAGGATTGAGCTGTTCTATTCAGATTGTAGCGTTAAAGCCTATACGGTGTCTGGTTCCCCTGCTAAACAGGGTTGAGCCGTACTCTTTGGGTTGTCACGTGAAATTCCGGATGGTGTCTGGTTTTCTTGAAAACCAATGTAAAATTACCCTGGCCCACAAGGGTATATTATATAACTGAATATATTTATATAATATCGTCTCATTTAAGAATCATCAACTAGATTTATCTGCTTATTTCAGGGTTATTCTGCATGTCAAGACTTGAACGCTGTATCTTTTGCTGAGTTACTTGGTTCAGATAGCCATAAACGTGTTCAACAGACCTGTTGTTTTAGTTCATCATTGGTGTAGATTTGAATGATCTCGTTGTAGATATTGTTGATTGAACTTAGACTATCGTTTATCGGTATGCATGAATTAGCTTATGAGAATAACCTCAATACAGTTATTTTGTTAAATTTAGGATCGTGGATAGATGGATATTAATAAGTAACGAATAAAGAATCGTATGAAGCCTAATTTTCATGATGCTATATAACGCAGTATGCTATCAGAGAAGTCATACAGCGTAAGAACGGCCTAAGTGGTCATTTTGATGTGCTACTTTTGGATACTCGGAAATCGTAATGATCTAGTCATTAACCTGGCCTGTTGGCTTGAACTCAAGTTATTTATAGATACTACCGTGATAAGTAGCGAGTTAAGGTCCAACAGAAAGGCCATGCGGTCGATTATACAGAAATGTAAAAGGAGTAAGGTGTTTCATTAAAAGGGACAGTATTTGCAGCGATCCTACGTCCTCACAACTAAAGAGTGTCAGAAAAAATGTCCACCCCCGTCAGTAAAGCCTTATCACACATTCAAATGCTTATGAAAAGGTCTCAAGCAGGCGTCTGTTTGACGCTGAATTCTAGTCCCCAGTTCATCAGAACCACAAATAACGCAGTTTCCTGCTCAATTACTTCTAAAAGAGTTATCCTTCTGAACCGTAGGTAAACGAGAAGTGACACCCGGTCAAACATATCTAACATCACTATAGATTGATAAATTTGAAGTAAGAATATAAATCTGAAATTTGATAATTATTTTACTCTACCGAACTTTCATAGTTACCTATCTATGAAATAGTCATAAGTCTATCATTTGTGATAATATATGCTTTGGTGATGAAAAGTAACAAGTGTTATTTTTCTAAAGAAACAAAGAACATATAAATCTCAATGAGAACAGACTGTTTATATATAAATAATAAGAGGATGAGATAAACTATAACATGCAACAATCTTCATTGTTAAATGTATTATCATCAATCTAAATTTGTTTAATTCGATATTCATCAGTTGATAAGCTTAGATTTCTATGAGATCATGTATTGTTATTAGGAAAGTCAGTCAATCAGTCAGTCACAACATAGGACCACGCACATATGTGCATCAGTCCAAGTTATCATACCTCATGGCAATTATAGAGAAAAATTAACAATGATAAATAATAGTAGTATCTGAAGTGTAATATTAATCAAATAATTTACCAAGTTTAGTGAATACAGGCAACTTATCAGTTTCAATAGGGATTGTTCTTTTTCCTATTATTGGTAATTCATGTTTAGGATATTTTGTAATTGAATTATTTCTTCTTGGAATTACACTTGATGAAGTTAAACCCAATGAACGAGAAGAATGAATAAAATCAAATGGAATGTGTTGTGGAGATGGTGGTACAGATGAAATGGATCTACTTGGTATAGTAATCGGACTTGATAAACCAATAATATCAATCGCTGTGATTGGTGAATGATTTAATGGTGTATTATGTAATGATGAAGGGAAAGAAGTGTTTTTCTGTTGTTGTTGTTGCTGCTGCTGCTGCTGCTGTAACTGATGTGCTCGCCTTTCATTCAACGATATTATGCTTGTTAATGGAGACGTTGATGATGTTATTGTATTCACATTAGATAATGAATTTTCAAGCGTATTTGTTCTGATAATAAATTGGTTAACCCAACCAGCAACTGGTGGACCGGGTGGGGGAAATTTAAAACGATTACTGTTATTATTATTATTGTAATCAGGTGAAAATACTCTAGAATTTCTGTTCGATGAATAATATCCAGTTGATGGTGTTGTTGATTGATTGTTGCCTAAACTTAAATCTTCACCAAATGATGATTGATTGAACTTTTCATGAAGTATCGGTGTTATTGCGGTTGTAGTTGGTATTATCTGATGACCTGGCATTCTGTAATAATCATGATAGGTATATTGTTGATTTAATGGATTCGATGGAACGAAACCATTGAATACAGCTGTTTGTAAACTATATAAAAAGTAATCATTATCAAATGATTCCATTGCATTAAAATTCTAAAATAAGTGAAAAGAAAAGACAATATTATTACTAATATTACTATCAATACTACTACTACTACTACTACTAATAATAATAATAATAATAATAATAATAATAATAATAATGATAATAATAGTAATAATAATAATAATAATGGCAACAACTAGGATAAACAAAAGTGGGATTTTAATAGTTGAGATCATGAGTGGGATTGTTATAGCTTGCTATTACTGATCAAATACACTTCATAGAATTCGGGCTAAGATTTCTATCTTGGGTCTACTATTCCGTTTATAGACTAGAGTCTAAGTCATGATGAATTACACTTTTCAGCAGTTCATTTAATCTTGAGTTTATGCAAGGTGAGTTCCTGTTGATTCGCTGTACGTAAGCTGTTCTCTATCTTTTCCTTTGTGTTCAGAGAGAAATTAGCAGCAAGTTTATATTATATTGTATTAAAAAGACATGTGTGTTTATATGTAAACATACTAGACCTTAATCACGCTATAAAATAGAAAATCTTAGTTATCCACCAAGAAGTCAAAAGGGGCTGTGAATAGGACAAGCTGGGAATAAGTGTTTACCAATAAAATAGAAATAACAGTATCATAGTAGTTGATGAGCTAAGCGAAAGATTATGGTAAATGGAATATACAGTCATGGTAATCTAATTACTTAATAATTATAAAACCCAGTTCCAGAAGTCCTATTTTTTTTAAAGAATTCTCATTATAACAGTGACAATATCATTACCAGTATGCATATGAACTATCTGGTTAATGAAACCTCTTAACTAAATGCAGATTGGTGTTTGTTAATATATGCATATTCTTTAATGATTGATTTGATATAACCATCTTACAACAAGTTATTTATAGGAGGTGAGTTGTGGCTAACAGTGTAACTTAGGATACACTTTTCGATCTATTTGAGACTCTTTGGTGGGGAGTACCGCATTTAAGGTGCTTCCGTACTAATAAATATACAAATATCATACCCGCGAAACAAGTTAGTGGAATTCTGGATTCTCTATCTTAGTCGGAAGCGTTTCTATAATCAAATAGAAAGACACAGGATTCAGGTCCCTATATGAATATCAACTGTAGGATGCAGACCTATCCAGTTGACGAGCTCGGAACAGGATGAAAACTATGTCTTAGCCACAACGTATGTATTCTCATTGATGCTATTAGTACTAATACAATGAGAAATAATTTTAGCGAAAACTTATCAAGTCTATAAAAGTAATTTAAAGTTGACTATGAATTGTAGATTCGATTTTGTAACACCTTACTGTTATATACGAATGGATAGTTGGGGAAAGGAAAACTATTTAACAGGGTATTATCCTATGTAATTTTCATTGTATAATCATTAAATCCCTTGATGACCATCGTCTTTCTTTATATTCGCTTATTATATAGCTTTCATTTGACTTGTATGTTATATGTTTTACTGTTTCAGATTTATCAGCCATTGATTGATTATTGCATTACTACGTTTTTCTTTTATCATTTATGATCTATTTGTGGTTACATTATAATTTCTGATAAGCTCAGTCAAGTATATGTAATATGTACAAACCTACAAGTTGTTGGTTTAAACATTTTGGATAATAATACAAAGGGTATTTGTTTTCTAACTTGACTGTTTGATTGGACACTGGATTAGAAAAAAGGCTCGTTAATCAATAAGCAAAAAGATCCTTAAGTTATTTTTTTAAGTAATTCAGCTACCGTGAATTTCTTATTTGAAATGACTATATCAAAAGTTAAGAACTAGAGAGACAGAAAGAAGGAGTTTCTAATATTTCAGGGTAAAATTCAAGACTTCATGAAGTATCTGGTTATCATGCCTTACTTATTTCACTGAGATGTAATAAATAAAGCAATTAACTAAATAAACGACAATTAATAGTGATGAACAGTTCTATTTTCTCTTTCTCATTTAGTGGATACAGAACATCAAATTGGTATGAATCGACCATTTAAAGTTATCCACTGTATTGTATCGAATCTATCATATAGTTTACGGGTTAATCTTTTGCACAATGCCAAATCCATTGCCATCCACATTCAGAAGCCTTATCTTTGTACTTTGATCTACATAATCTGTCTTCTATGGCCATCGTTATGGATACTCTCTCTCTCGGGTTTTCTAAAAAATTTCATTCAGTTTCATGTTCATGAATGATTTCAATATTTGCGTCTTTATTCTATTATTATTATTATTATTATTATTATTATTATTATTAATCGTTTAAATAAACATTCAGTGTTGTTATCAATACTGAATTTCTTACCAGATATTTTATTATATTCATTATTAATTCTATAATTACATATGTAAATCCTTTGTTAAGTAACTGTTAGCTAAATTGAACACCTAACCGTCATAATTTCAATCCCGAACTGATCTTAGCTAAATCTGGAAGTATTGGACAAAAATTGATTGAAATGGGATATTAACTTCAGTGGACCTCGGTTTCGAGATCTAGAGATTAAAAGTTTAAGTGGGAGATCAAAGGTCCTAGGTTTGGTTCGGAGATGAGGGTTTGTGGATGTATGCTATTGAAGAGTCTCACATTAAGACAAAATGGCTGTCCAGGATCTCCAGGCATTTCACTGGTGGTTTGACTAATATGAGTTTATGATTTAACCTCTGAAAATTCTGTAGCCTCCTTAAATATTCTTATACTAATAAAAACCTAACTATTAGATACGAGTGAATACGTTGAAAGTGTGGAAGTTCGAGAGTTATTATATATACTTTTACTGTATATATTCACTTATTACTTCTCTGATAGTAATTTTGCACTGTCCTAATTGTAGGCTTTCATTTAACAAATTGACTGTTATCATATGTTACATCGTTCATAAATTACTGTTAATTAATTGTGTACATGTTACTCAGTTTTGTACCATAAATAACCAAGTTATGTACAGATTGTTATTTTCTATTTATCGTGCTCTGTAATCGTGTATTTGGTTTACGATATCATGTTTCGATAATGTAATAAGAAGACGAAGATTATCAGAACTATGTGATATATTAGTGTAATACATTTCCAACAATCTGATCACACATATACTTGTTAAGAACATTTATATATAAAAATAAAAGGTGAACTAGACTGGAAATGGGGTAAGAGGAGACAAGAACAATAATAATAATAAGAGTGAACATAATTTGAAACCTAATCATTCTGGATAATAAGTCAATATTACCAGGGTAGGTTTAAGGTGAGATCAGATTGTTCGAAATGTATTGCACTAATATATCACATAGTTCTGATAATCTTCGTCTTCTTATTACATTATCGAAATTTATCAAAGGGACTAATTGTTTATTTTTTGGGTCAAAAATACAATAAAAATAATCAATCGGTTTTCATTATTTCCTGATTCAGTGGTCTGGAAACAGGAAATAACTGTATGGGTCTGTCAGAGTCAGGATAACAAGAACAAAGGTTAGTGCAGAATAATATGAATTCATTTTATTTCGTTAGGTTCTCATCAGCGGCTTACAACCTAAAATATTTGAAATTCAACATTATTACAGATATTGACATATTTATACATAAGAGTGTGATTAAGGATGAATACATGTGTATGATGATGTAGCCCAGATTCAGATAGAGTTAATGAGCTCATAAAATGTTTGATTCGAATAAGTTGATATACTGAAGTCCTACAAGGTGATTAACAAACAATCAAATTCAAACCTTTTGAAATTCGCCGAAACAATAGCAATCAAACGTTTAAAACCAGATCTTTGTATACAAAAAGAAACAGTATTAAATCTTTCTTTGCCCTGGTAACATTCACCCCACCCCCTTTTATTTATATTTATTTTTATTACGTCATTTCAACTCTTTCTGAATTTTATAATTACATCATTCATAACTGACCAATTTCAATTCATATCTCTCTTTATTAACATTAATCTATTTTCAGTTACTTCATTACATAACCGTCTAATGTGTTTTAATTCCATGATTTCTAATCACTATCTCAATTTTCTGGAACTTTTCCTCCCAAACTCTATATATTCGAAACAAAATTTCATGACCTCATTAACCCCAACGAAATCTTTGCTACACTATGTTACATATATTCATTCGTCATCGCCCTCTGTTGTATAAGTATGTCAATATCTGTAATAATGTTGAATTTCAAATATTTTAGGTTGTAAGCAGCTGATGAGAACCTAACGAAATAAAATGAATCCATTTATTATTCTGCACTAACCTTTGTTCATGCTCTCTTTAAAATAATAAAGGGAACTATGTGTATGAAAGAGTCAGGATACTTAGTGGGCATAATATATCAAGTGAAATTCATTAGTGTTATTAGCAAAGGCGGAAGTCATACCACTGACAACAGTTCAAATTAGTATCATACAACATAGGGAGAACTCGTATTGTTTGGAATTTGATCACAATCTCCGAGTTTCTGACTTTTTTCCTCAGCTATTATTAAGCTAAAATGTTCACACACAAATATACTAAAACGTGCAGGATAAATAAGACGATTGATTGTCTGTAATATTTATCCATAAGAAAACTTTCATCACACTGTAAAATTCAATATTATTTGAAGAATAAATTAGTAATAAGAGACTAAATAATTCCTTAGTGGTAAAGTAGCTTATTGTTGAGAAATGAAGAAATCGGTTATACACAATTAACAAGTTAGTTCGCTCAGTACCGAGAACTGACTGAAGTAGGACGGAAAACTACTGAGGGCCGGGTTAATAATTCGAAATCTATAGACTAGATACGAGAACTCATCGTCTTAAGTTCGATCCCTTGTGGTGCGTTCGCTGATGGGCACTACTGATGGACTAAAAACCAATTGAAAATCCTAGTTGGTGCAAACGAAAAGAGATTGAAACGATTCATATTCAAGTATTCGCTATGTTGTCGGTGAAAAAGTACTCACTACCATTATTATTATTGTTGGTATTGCCACCCGAGTGATGTGAAGTGATCTACCCGCTTTTCAATGTTATA